CGCTTTGCGGACATAGTGCCATTGGGTATTCCTCACATGACTTCCCGTGACACTGAGGTGCAAGGCTTCCTCATCCCCAAGGTATGGCTGCAGCCCCTATACCACAGGCTTGTAACCCCAGCATGGCCTTAGCCAAGTGAAGCCAAGATTGGTACCAGACTGTCCATCCATTCATTGCCAGATATCAGTGTGCCTGGCACACTGTGTAAAGGGGTACAAAGCACAGGCAGAGTGGGGTCCCATCCAGAGACCTAGTCTGGTGGAAGATAAACCAAAGATGCTACAGTGTGTGTGAGGAGCCAGGTGGCAGTGATGGCATGCATCCATGGGAGAGGCATCACCCGGCCCTGCCTTGGGGACCAGGAGGAGCTTCTTGGGCTGAGCTTTCCTCAAATGACTCCAGGATGTGCCAGGCAGATGGTGCATGCCTGCGTGTGTATACTGGTGACCAGGGTCACAGTGTCCCCTGCCAAGGACCCCACCCACTCCAGGCATCCCCTGAGCAGGGAACCATGCTCTTCCTCAACCTGTCATCGGTGCTGAAGGATGAGGCTGTCTGGGAGAAGCCCTTCTGCTTCCACCCGGAACACTTCCTGGACGCCCAGGGCCACTTCGTGAAGCAGGAGGCCTTCATGCCTTTCTCAGCAGGTGCCTGGGGGGTACCTGGCTCCCTCCCCTCTCCTGGGGGAATTGGATGTGGGAGCCTAGATCCAGAGGGCATGGAGGAAGGTAGAATCTCCACTGAGTAGTATCCAATCTGTCTTGGTGGGGCTGATGAAAGGAAATGCAGATAGGTCTCTTGTGATACAATAGTGAATAATTGTTATCAGGACTGATTGTGAGGATTGGAAATGTAAAGATAGACATTTTGTAGCAAGGAGGGAAATGATTGATTTTGCAGTCTAGGAGCGGAGGTCCCTGGGACCATCAAGGGAGTAGAACCGAGATCGGGACCCTACCCAGAGAAGCAGTGACGCCAGAGATGGAGGCAGAGACGATGACATGGAGAGATGGAGCAGCTGGGAACTTTAGACCCAGCGAGGGAGAGGGGCTATGTGCTGACCACCAGGCAGCAGGCTTGTAGGGTTGTCTGATGATGGATGGAGGGAATAGTAACCATGGCAATGAAATGATACACAATAGGATGAACGTAAAAGTAATGTTCTCCCGTGTAAACTACCACATAATTCACACACATATATAAAAAAAGAATAGCCCATGTGTCTGGGGAAAGGAATCCATAGGAATGGTCCCAGATACTGGATTTGCAACACAAAGGATTTAAAACAAACTAATAGGATATCATGTTTGGTAAGGTGGAGAGTCAGAGAAAAAGAGGGAGATCCCCATCGAGATGGATTGGAAAAGAGGCAGCATCGATGGACTCAAGCGTGGCAACGGTAGTGAGGTTGGCCCAGGATCGGGCAGTGTTTCGTTCTGCTGTGCATGGGGTCTCTATGAGTCAGTACCGACTCAATGGCACCTAACAACAACAACAACAATATAAACATAGTCAAAGAGTTAAAGGAAGTTACATATGAAGAAGTAAACAAAGTATGAAATATCTCACCAAATAGAGAATATCAAATGAGAGGGCGAAGTATAAAAAGAATTTTGGAGTTTGGGATGAAAAGTCCAATAAGTGAATTGAAAAACTCACTGCAGGGACTCCGGAGAAGACATAAACCCTGAAAAGAACCCAGAGATCGGCTGCTTGAGATTATTTTATCTGAGGAATAGAAAGAAAATAAATTGATTAATGAAAAGAGTATCAGAATCATCAAAAACAAAGGAGCCTTAACAAAATTCACAGCTGATTTCCATCAGAAAGGATGGAAACCAGAAAACAGTGAGATGAGAACATTTCTCTGAAAGAAATGGAGGCTGAGGTAACAAGGTTGGGGGAGGACTATTAGGCAGGGTCATTGGGGAACTCTGAGAACAGTCCTTCTGCCTTTGCTAGCAGACTTGAATTTCTCTCAGGCAGGAGTTGAGGGCCTCAGTGTTGCTTAGAGCAGGCTGGAGGCAGTGGAGGGCAAGTCCAGGCAACCTCAGGCATTGCTGGGAGCCAGGGGACTTGGGGCTGGGGCTGTGTGTCTGCATGAGTTTCTGTTGTCATGGGAGTCGTGTTCATATGCATCTGCGTGGTGAGCTTTCTGAAGGGTGTGAATGGTAAGTGTGAGTGTGTGTGTGTGTGTGTGTGTTTCTGTGTGAGTGAGGTGGTGGGTAAGTAGCTATGACTTTAGGAAAGTGTGTCTGAGTGCCTATCTGCTACAAGAGACAGTGTGAAGAGGTGGGATCCATCACTGAGAACATCATTTACTCTTCACACTTAAACCTCTCTGATCACGATCTACCTATTATCCCACACAAATGACAGGTAATCACTATCTGCCTAGAATCCCATGTATATGATAGAGACCACCCTAAGGACCACTCTAGACATGACAGATGAGGGATGGAAAGGGTGAGAATCTGCCCTGGGGATCAGATTGTAGACATCAGAGGGTGGAGAGTCACATGGAAGAGGAGGGATGAGAAGGTGCCTCTTCAATTTCCTCACAGCCCAGGTGCCTGCAGCATCCTGCAGTGCTGGGAAGTTAGTGCCAGGGAGGCAGAGCCCAGTTCTTGAGTCTCCTCCCACCCGCAATTGGACAGGCTCCTCCCTCGCAGCTTCATCAGTGCAGACATTGATCCACAGCAGTTTGCTAAGAGTGGAGGGCAAAGGCCAGTCATTGACCCTTTATATAATTCCAGGCAGGCTGGAAGAGCCATTTGCATGTGGTGTGCCTCAGGTCTGATCCTACAAGCTGGATTCCGCTACCACTCAGCCCAGCAGTGGAGCCCTGCAGGCAGTGAGGCACCATGGGGCTGCTGACTGGGGAGGCCCTGACCACCTTGGCTGTGGCCTTGGCCATCTTCCTGCTCCTGGTGGATCTGATGCACCGGCGAGTTCGCTGGGCTGCCCGCTACCCTCCAGGCCCTGTGCCTCTGCCTGGACTGGGCAATCTGCTACAGCTGGATTTCCAGGACACGCCACACAGCATAAACCAGGTGAGACAGGTGGGGTGGGTCACCAGTGGCCTGAACACCCCTCAGCACCTGACAGTGGGTGTTGGGGGAAGATAAATGAGGAGCTGGTCCAACACACAAGCAGGTTAGGCAGGTGTCCTGGGGGGGTAGTTTAGTGTTGGTTTAGATTTTCATAGAACAAAAATTGGGGCGTGGGTTGCAGAGGGTTGAAGGCCAGGAGGCGGCGTGAGACTGTGGAGCAGGTTTTCCTTCCATTGTTGTTGTTGTTGTGAACTGCCATGCAGTTAGCTCCAACTTATAGTGACCCTGTATAAGGGTTCTGAGCGGTAGTTGGTGAGTTTAAACTGACAAGCTTGTGGTTCAAACCAACTGAGTAGCCAATGCTTATTCTACAGTGTCACACCATGAGTCCTTGGCATCCCATTGTTGTTGTTAAGTGCCCTTAGAGTTGGTTTCTGACTCATATACAACTGGTGAGTCTGAGTTGCCAAACCTGTGGTTTCAACTGACCTTTAGGTCCAGTTCTTGTCCTACAGCACCACACCAGGCCTCCTTCCATCCAATAGATGACACAAATTATGCAAACCCTAAATCTGATGAACTCAGGAATGAGGTGGGGGCTGGGTAGTGACCCCGCTGTAAGACTGGTCTGGCGAGGGTGGGCACTAACTCGGATCCAACTTTTCCCTGTGCTTTGAGCCTACTGTTCACATGTGTTTTCTGATTTGTAAAATGAGACGTTTCATGAACCACATGACTGATTACAAAATCATAAGTGGGCGGTCGGATCCGAGTAATTCCTCCACCTATAGAGGGTGTTAACCCGCTGTCACGTTCCTTAGTTCCTCTCTATCCTTCACCCGCTGCTGGTAACCCAGTGGTTCCACCAAGTTTGCACTCAGAGAACGTTTCCCGCCACCGTGCAGGCAAGCGACTTGACAACCCCCTGCCCTCCGTCTGCAGCTGCGGCGCCGCTTCGGGGACGTGTTCAGTCTACAGCTGGCCTGGACGCCAGTGGTCGTGCTCAATGGGCTGGAGGCCGTGCGGGAGGCGCTGGTGCTCCGCGGCGAGGACACGTCCGACAGACCGCCCATGGCTATCTACAAGCACCTGGGCTTTGGGCCAGGAGCCCAAGGCAAGTCACGCCCCAGTGAGAGGGCAGGGCTCGCCCCAGGCACCAAGTGCCTACAGGAGGGCAGAGCGGGCTGAAGAGTCCCAAGCACAGCTGTGGACAAACAAGTGCAAGTTCGGTGCCACGCAGCGGTGCAGCAAGGCAGGAAGAATCGCCGGCTGGTGTCTGGGCGGGTTTTTTCAGGGCTGGGGTGCAGTGAATCTGGGCAGAGCCTGTCGGGGCGGAGCCTGTTTTGGGCAGGGCGTGGGTGAGGCGGGGCTTCTACCAGGGTAGCCTGAGGGGGCGGAGCCTACCTGGAATGGGGCCTTGGAGGACCTAGATGTGCTGGCCAAGGCTACCGTCCCGCGCACCCCCAGGCGTGATCCTGGCACGCTATGGCCACGCATGGCGCGAGCAGCGGCGCTTCTCCGTGTCCACATTGCGCAACTTCGGTCTGGGCAAGAAATCTCTGGAGCAGTGGGTGACCCAGGAGGCCGCCTGCCTCTGTGCTGCCTTCGAAGCCCAGGCAGGTGAGAATCGGGGCCTAGGGGCGCAGGGCGGGGCAGGGCGGGGCGGGGTGGGGCCGAGCGGCACCTGTGACACCTCACCCTCCTACCAGGACGCCCCTTTAACCCCCAAAACCTCCTGAACAAAGCGGTGAGCAATGTCATCGCCTCCCTGACCCATGGGCGCCGCTTCGAGTATGATGACCCGATCCTTCTCAAACTTTTGGAGCTGATCCAGATCTCACTGAAGGAAGACACGGGCTTAGTTCCCGAGGTTCATGGGGCATGAGAGGACAGGGAGGGGTGAGAGCTTCCCTCCCTGCTTAAGTGAACAGGCTTCCCAGGGAAGGGCAGGTTTGTATTAGGGGCTTTGGAGAAAGGACGTTCCACGGGTGGACTGCAGACTCGTGTTCCCTAGAGGTGCTGGGCACTTTGACTGGGGCTCCCTGAGCACAGGCTGGACCCCGAGCTCCTGGTGTGTCCGCACAGGTGCTGAATGCGATTCCTGTGCTTCTGAACATCCCGGGACTGGCCAGCAAGGTCTTCTCGGGACAGAGGGCCTTCATGGCCACGCTGGATGAGCTGGTCACTGAGCACCGGGAGAGCCGGGACCCGGCCCAGCCACCGCGTGATCTGACCGATGCCTTCCTGGATGAGGTGGAGAAGGTGAGAGTGGCTTCCTGGGACAGGGTACGGTGTGCAGTGGACCTGCGCATCTCCCAGCAACCACCGCGGGGCTGACAGGAGCAGGGGGTGTAGAGATTTGGGGATGTGGTTTGGGGCTTCTCCTATATCCCTGCTCTAATGTTCTCTGCCTGTCTCAGGCTAAGGTGAAGCCCGAGAGCAGCTTCAATTATGAGAACCTGCGTCTGGTGGTGGCTGACCTCTTCTCTGCAGGGATGGTGACCACGTCCACCACACTGACCTGGGCTCTCCTGCTCATGATCCTGCACCCGGAAGTGCAGCGTGAGGAACCTTGGGCCTGGCGGGTAGCTGAGGGGAGAAACATGATCCCACAAGTTTGTTTCCACAACAGCATCCCAAGCAGAAGAGAGGCCTGGCAGCTAGTCGTATGGTCATGAGAGCACTTTGTGGCACACTGTGGTCCCTACAAAGAATTTTCTTTTGGGGCAGAGGATGGTCGGGGGTGCTGCCTACTGGGTTGTGGCATATTGGGGGCACTTTTGTCTGTGCAGGGCGTGTCCAGCAGGAAATCGACGAGGTGCTAGGGCAGGAACGGAGACCTGAGATGGCTGACCAGGCCCGCATGCCCTTCACCACAGCCGTGGTCCACGAGGTGCAGCGCTTTGCGGACATAGTGCCATTGGGTGTTCCTCACATGACTTCCCGTGACACTGAGGTGCAGGGCTTCCTCATCCCCAAGGTATGGCTGCAGCCCCACCAACCACCTGTCTGCCCATAATCCCGGCATGGCCTTAGCCAGGAGGAAGCAAGACCAGTCTGTCTGTCCATACATCACCAGTCACCAATGTGGGGTGCACAGCAGAGGTAGGGTGGAGCCCCATCCAGAAACCCAGACAGATGGAAGATAGCCAAAGATGCCACAGTGTGTGCCAGGAGCCAGGTGGCAGTGATGGTATCCATGGGACAGATAGCACCTTACCCTGCCTTGGGGACAGACAGGGCCCCAAGGAGATTCGTGGGCTGAGATTTTCTCTAATGACTCCAGGGTGTGCCAGGCAGATGGTGTGTCTATGTATGTAGTGGTGAGCAGGGTCACAGTGTCCCCCGCCCAGGACCCCACTCACACCAGGCTCTCCTGAGCAGGGGACCATGCTCTTCCTCAACCTGTCATCGGTGCTGAAGGATGAGGCTGTCTGGGAGAAGCCCTTCTGCTTCCACCCGCAACACTTCCTGGACGCCCAGGGCCACTTCGTGAAGCAGGAGGCCTTCATGCCTTTCTCAGCAGGTGCCTGGGGGGGTACCTGGCTCCCTCCCCTCTCCTGGGGGAATTGGATGTGGGATTCAGCCCTCACCGGCTAGCTGAGCTCCATGCCTACCCACAGGCCGTCGCTCATGCCTCGGGGAGCCACTGGCACGCATGGAGCTCTTCCTCTTCTTCACCTGCCTCCTGCAGCGATTCAGCTTCTCTGTGCCCACTGGACAGCCCAGGCCCAGTGACCATGGCCTCTATGCCTTCCTGGTGACCCCTGCCCCCTACCAGCTGTGTGCTGTGCCCCGCTAGAGGCCTCAATCCCTAACCAGTTCCCTCGCTTTATCCTGACCGACAATAAACCAGTCGGGAGATAACACTTGGCATCTGGTTGCCACCACCTGGCCGACTCCTGAATATGATTGGGCCTCAGGAGCCTGGACCAGTCTTTCAGATCATTGGTAAGATGGCGACACTGAGGCACTGAAGCTAGCACCCTGCCCTGCCACCTAGTCTTCATCAGCACTCAACACTATTTTCTTGAGTTGGTGACAAAGATGATAGAGAGACCCTGGCTTCTAGGTTATCAGGTGGGGCCAGGGGTGAAATTTGGGTGCTCAGATAAGTCAGCCCAGTCCCAGGGGGAGGGGGTCACTCAGCCAGGACAGTCCACCCAGCCTTCATCAGGGACTGACTGCTCAACCAGACCAACAATGTGTGCGCTCCCAATGCTGGGGCACTGGAGGGTTCAGAGTACAGTTGGGTCATTGGGTGCCATTGCTTTGTCTGGGAAGGCTTGGTAGCAGTTCACATGTAGCCTCCCTGAGTTACTCAACCTCCCCAAGTTTGGACTGGCCCGTCCCGGCCCCATGACGATGCTCACACCCAGAACTCAGAGCGCCTGGCTGGACCTAGAGGACAATGCTTAGCCAGGCTCCAAGCCCAACCCACTACCAGGTAAGCCAGGCCCCCAGGAGGCAGGGCCACACAGGATGAGTGCTTCTGAGTTAGGGATCCCATGGAGCCGTGGGGCATTCATTGAGTGCAGCAGAGGAGAGCTGTGGCCTGGGCAGCACATGGGAGGAGAACCTGGTTCTAGGCCCAGCCCTGGCACTCTGTAGTGTGCCTCTCCCAGTCCCTCCCTGCCCTGGGCTTCTGCTTCCTCTTCTGCCCATGAGATGGTTGCCACAGATGACCCCTGAGCTTCACCTCCTGTTCCCACCTTTGCTGGTCTGTAGTCCCACCATAGACAAGACCTATTGCCCTCCCATCTTTGTCCCTGTCCCCATAAGTGGCTGGCTCTGGACAGGTACGTGGGCAGCACCCACGAGTCTATCGTGACCACCTTGTTGCCTGAGTCTAGGGTGGACCCTTGGCACATCAGAGTGACACTGGGTCAGAGACTACAGATATCTAGGGCTGGAAGCCACCAGAGGCCCCAGAGGTGTCCCCACAACACCCCAAGGGGTTCTCATGAGCGCCTTCATAAATGCCCTCCAGAGTGGGAACGCTCAGCTCCACAGGGAAGAAGCTCTGTCCCTAGGCATTGAGTCCGAAGCCCAGTCAAGGCCCCCTCGGCCCCTCCGGAGTAACCCACGGTCCTCTCAGAGAACAGTGGCAGTCTGTCCCAAGGGTGGGCGTGTCTGAGAGAAGACAAGGGTCCGGACAGGAGGAGGCTGGGCTGCAGCTACAACTTGTGGGATTTATTGGGCACTGTCACTCATGGTTGTAAGACTTGGGGGCATTGGAGGTGGGCAACCAGCCCAGCCAGAGCTTTCTCAGGAGCTGGGGGCCCCTGCCCCAGGACCCTTCTTCCACTTTGCCCTCTGCCTCCAAGGTCTCTAAAAAGCACAAACGATGCCCTGTGAGTTTCTAGTGGGGAAGGGTCTTTCCTAAGGCCTGGGACCCCACCCACATCCAGGTGAGCTTTGACCAGAGTCTAGGTATTCGGTCTGGCAACCCAGAGAAGCAGCGGAAGGGTGGAGCATCTGTGCCTGGCTCCTCCCACGCCTGGCCTGCAGTAGGGCACCTGGACCCAAGTAGGGACAGGAGTTAGGGAAGAAGGTGGGGTGGGGTCGGCAGTCTTAGCGGAAGACTGTACAACTTGGCCTGGGTGCCCCAGTGTCCCACTCCCTACCTGCCCCCATAGTCAGCCCGTAATGCCTCAGGGCTTCTCAGCAGTTCCTTCTAAGCCAGGGTCCTGACCACCTCCTCCTCATTCACTTGCCCTGGGGATCTCACCTTCCCCTCTTCTTGAGGCAAGGGGTCAGCCTGAGCCAGGACTTCCTGTGCCCTGGGGGCGGTGCTCTGTGGCAGTGGTGATGGGGGGAGGGGACAAGAAAGCAGTGATGGTAGAAAGACCCTCCAAAAGCTCATCACCCCTCCCTGCCCCTCCCCCCACTTGTTTCCTTGCAAGTCCTTCCCCTTCCCTTCCTGCTGGGGGATGTGAGAGTCCCTGGGTGGTAAGGAGCTCCAGAGGACTCACCTCCAAGATCTGCTTCTTCCCACTCCTGGATGGGTGTCTCTACAAGAAACAGGATGTGGGTGACTGGAGATTGCTCCATGATCCTCCAGTTCTCCTCCAGAGCAGGAACCTTTCATAGGACAGTGACCCCACTGTAGGGAGGAGACGTCCCCAACCTTCATTTACCTGAGTGATCACAGGGTAGCACTTATCCATCAAGCCCCACACGGGCCTTATGGTCTCCCCTATGGGCTGCACAACAAAGAGAGAGGAGGAGACTAAGGTGAGAGACCCTAGCTCAGTCCATTGTCAACCAATACCTGCATCAAGACTACCGGCATCTAAGGAAAACCTCTAGAGAAAGCTTCAGAAAAACTATAACTGTTAGGCGCTTTCGAGTCGATTCCAACCCAGTAATCGTATGTGCAACACAACCAACTACTGCCCAGTCCTGGGCCCTCCTCGCACTCTGTCCCATGTTCGAGCCCATTGTTCCTTTAGGATCA